TTGATTTTTTTGGAGAAAAGCACTTCTCAATCGGGCTTGGGAGCAAAGAAGGTTCTCTTTCAATTATTAGGCCTAAGCCCCTGCCACATTGGGCCAGGCTTCCATAGGCAGCTGTAGTTGCAATTTGACACCAATTATCTATACATTAGCTAAATTGAAAAAATTTTAACACAGAAAAATTAATGCACTAGTCTATTTCCATTAAGAGTAGTTAATTTCAACCCAAGTCTGGATTTCTCCTTACAACCGTTTAATGTCTCATATTTGTCTAGTTTTTTCCACCACAGAACAACATCATAATTGCTTAATACATTTACTGACCTAGCATTATGCCATTTCTACCAGCTCCAACTTGTGTTTACTAATAATGCTGCATCTATGTTTCAATTACTTTCCAGCAGCAATTTATAGACTTAAATCCACACAAAACATGCCTTTGACGGACTTCACTATAAGCTAGCATAGGTCCTCTGTTTTGGGCATTGGGGTTCACTTGGATCGTTGAAATTATTTTTATTGACTAGCTTATTTTAAATTCCATTTAAAACAGTTTCTCTTCCTCTTAATTACGGACTGGATAATATTTTTTTAATAAGATCAAGGTATTTCTAAGTTTTAAGTATGTCTTGTGCATTCAAGATTTTATTCTCAACATACTTCTCATAAAGATCGAACTTGATAAAAAAAAAATACTCTTTTCTTTATCAACTGAATTAATCTGTGTGAACTACAAAACAAGCAAAAAAAAAATAGAGAAATTGTACCAGTTACCCATTCATAATGAATTAAGACAATCTATATTATCTTTTTTTCAAAAAAATTGATGAGAATACATGGTGCATTACATGAAAAAAAAATATTTTTAAGAAATAATATTTTAATTAACCTTCACCAATACTTGTAAATAGATACCCGTTAGTTGAATCCATAGAATAAAAGGAACTTCAGTTGAGAAAAGCTTATCTAAATTTTGTCTTGGTCGTTGATCTACTATGTTTCATTATAGTATATAGCATCATCCACGAAAGAAAATATATAGAATTGCTCCAGGAGACTGATTAACAAGTTATAGAAGATTTCTTAAAATTAATAATACTTGACTGATGATTGTAACTGGTTAAACTACACCAGTAAAACAGCATGGTCAAAGAACTCAAGCAGCCAATTAACCAAAAAGAAAACAGTAACACTAGCCAGCAGCGACCTTTTGACTCAAACACAACAAATTATTGAAACTCTAAGCTTAAGACCTGCACCATTGTTTACTGCCACAAGAAAGGCAATCACACTGAAACGGGCTCCAACATCACCCTACTCATGGTGTCCACCACCGTTGTTTCCGTCTCCACCACCACGGTTATAACCGTTGTTGTCGCCATCTGCCGCGTTGCCACTGCTACAGCAAGGTTGCACTTGGTTCACAGTAGTAATATTATAGTTTCCATCGAGGTTGAGATCATTCATTCCCTGGATAGCTTCATTCGTCTGGCGAACATGATTGTTATCTACTTCAGCCGTAAGCAGAAAATCGTCGACCAATTCTTGCATGCGTTTATTCTCCGCAATAAGTAGCGGGTTCACTCTCCTAATCCTCCGCATTTCTTTCTTCGTCCATTTAACAGAGAGTTTCTTTGCCCTTAGCCACATCGCCATGCGTCTATTCTCGGCTTTCGTCCTTGCCAATTCAACCAGAACAGCCTCAAGAACGTTTGGTACATCCTGATTGGGCAAGCAAAATATACAAAACTATTTATTACTAATAAACTTATAAAAAAAAGGGAAAAAGAAGAGGGAACAAATAGAAAAGCACATGTACCAAAGAAAATAGAAAAATGAATGTGTAGCTAATATAAGTTAATTCATAGTCAAAGTTAATGGTGCCTTTGGTAATTAATGTGTAGCTAAAGATCACATATACTAAAGAAAATAGAAAGTGTAATTAAGAAATTTTATTGTTAATGTATAAACTAATAATTTTTAAAGTTACCTTTCAACAAAAAAAACTTTAAAGTTTATAAAATTTTACGTTTTGAAAATTATATAATCCAAAATAATTGGAATTTATTGCAAATTTATGTTTAAAGACATTTAGAATTGATTGTTGCCAATTTTTTTAAGCTCAAGAGTTTAAGTTTTAAGATTTAGAATTTAAACATTAATTCTTAAACTATCAAAGAATTCTTTCCCTTTCAAATGTCAAAATTCTATATTTATGGCTCTTAACACAAAATATATTTTAAAATTTTAAAACTCGAAGGTAGTACTACACCTTCCCCTGAAATTTTGAAAGTCAACTAAGTGGAACTTTGCTAAATTTTTTATAAGACAATTGAAAGATGCTGAAATAAAATTTCTAAGCTTGTCAAAAACACTATATCAAAGAGTATACATTGTTTAGTATTTGAAAATTTACACATTTAATTCCTTTGCATGTAATTTTAAAATTAATGATTAATTACATTAATAAGCATAGTGGCCCCTACAAATGAAATTTTAATGCATTTGATGAAATTTATGAGGTGATGCTGAGGTAAGGGTCTTTACCCATAGAGAAGAAGGATTCTTTGCCGATCCAAATTTACCTTAACCCCTATGCATCTCTCATAGAAATCTTACAAAAGTGAAGATTTGAATTTATTCTAATACTACTTGTTACGGGTGCACATTTTCAACTTAAAAAACATACTTGGTAGGTGAAAGAAAGTCCTTTTTTATATATTCAAGATTTACCCCATCGCTTACTAATGTGGAATCCATGACATATGCATAAAGGTTATAGGGGGCTTAAGATTATGAACCTTCGATATGGAGAGGAACTCAACAACCTATGGACATTCATAATGGTGGAAACCTTTTGACTTTGATTCCATACAAAAACGGTCGCACAAAGGTCAGGTTTGTATTGGAGGGTCAAGATCTTTTGTTTAGCCCTTGTAGGTGTATTAGAAGGGTATGCCCGATCCTTTTGTATCAGCATATTAAAACATATCGAGCCCTTTATTCTCAACTAACAATTAATTTTGTTTTGTGTTTGTAGGGATGGGATTTGTAGCTGGTAATAGTAGTAACATCTCACTGAGGTGGCAGGAGGAGTGGATTGATGGAGTGATACTCCATATTGCCTTTCAATGTATTTTCACGCTTGCGATTAACAAGGTTGACACTCTAAACAAGTCGGGGTCATGGGGGAATGATGCTAAGAAGGAGAACTTTTGATTGTAAAGCTAGCCAATTGATACAATGGCAACAGGCTCCTCGAGATACCTTCCTTATAAAAGTCTTGCAACACAAACTCATATGGAAATGGTCTATTGGTGGTGTGTATTTGGCAAATTCTTTCTACATAATTGTGGAGGATAAGAATGGGGAAAACAAGGACTTACGAAAATCAATATGGATTGATTTTTCTCTTCTGAAGTCTAAGTGTTTTATTGGTAGGTACTTAAAGGTAAAATCTCCATAAAAAATGAGTTAGTGAGAAGAGGGTTGTTGTGTAGCAACTTGACCATTTGTGCTCTTTTCCATAAAGAGGTTGAAATGGCAAATCATTTATTCTTTACATGTTTTGAAACTTGGAAAATCTAGTCATTATGGTGCAATTTGTAAAGGCTCACTTAGACAATCTTGAGGGAGGTAATTTATTTCTTGATGGTGTGGAACATCATCAAGACTTGCAAAAGGAGAGATAAGGTATGAAGGATTGCTTTCTTTGTCATTGTTTGGTTTATATGGTTATATGAAAATGGTATGGTTTATAATGGGAAAATACTTTCCAAGAGTGAAGAGGAGAAGTTGAATGAAGAGTGGAAAGAAAACAAGGAGAAGAAAAGAGAAAGATCACCAAAAAAAGGAAAGGAAGAGCAAAGTGTGCCAACCAGGTGAAGCATGCTTTAAATTTAATGTTGATGCCTCAGTGCATGGATGCTCGAGAAATGCTAGAATTAGAAGGGAAGGGGATGTTCAGGTACATGCATGAGGGGACCTTTGGCCATCGTTTCAAATTCCATTGGGGTAGATGATTCAAACCTCATTGACTTGCTTGCGATCAAAGAAGGGCTTCTAGTTTTTGTAGCTTCACAATACGTTAGTTCTCATGCATTCATAATTGAAAGTGACTTAGTAAATGAAAGGAACTAGGTGCAAAATTCAGACAAAGCCCCTTGTCGGATGAGAAAATAATTACTACAAATTGAAGGTTTGAAACACGAGGTAAAAAAATGCCTGATCAACCATACCTTAAGGTAAGGGAATCAAGATGCTGACAGGTTGGCAAAATAAGGAGTTGCTGGGATACTGACATGCTAAGTGTCACAGTCTTAGATGAGAGTCACGAATCCAACATCAATTGTGTATTAAAGTGAGATTGAGTATTTAAGTGTTCACATCAACTTCGATTTCTGAAACACTTTTTATGGGATAGGACGATGAATCCTAATGGGGTCAAAGGTGAAGGTGTTTGTCCCTAAGAATCTAAGGCTTGTTAGCCTAAGTTTGCCCTCTGTTATCCTTTGTTTTTCTTACTGGTTTGCTTTGGAGCTCCAATGATGAGTCCCTCAGGATGTTGGAAAACTACATACTTTTTAGAATTTAAGTACAAATGTGATGCTGAGATGATGAACAAGGATTTTGAGCTGCTATTATAACATAGCATTTTAAAATCCGATTGCTATTGTATAGTTTTAGGGAACTCTCTCATTCCAATGGATCAATAAATTACCCAATTTTCAAAAAAATAAAAAAGTGTGCCCACCAGGAGGAGAAAGGAAGGAAGGAAGTAAAGCTGTAAAAAGGGTTGTGTTAGGGTTTGAGAAAAAAAAAACAATATATATTTCTTTGGTTATGTGAGAAAACAATGAATATAACTTCTAATCATATGGCATTAAAAAGAAGATTTGGTTAAATTGGCCATGCTCTTGGTTGTCCAATTGCATTGCCCAAGTTTGATCCCCACAATCCCCTTGGAAGCATAAATATATAATTGAGTTTGGTTATCGGATATTTAAAGAGTAATATCCAACTCAAGATGAGTAACAAAATTCTTGTCCATACTCATCTCAAACCCAAATATAGAGTACCCCGAACCCTATGTAATAGAGTCGGACACTTATGGATATAAATCCGGATATGAGATAAGTTGATAACCAATTACATATCCCTAGTTGCAGTACTCTGCTTCTGCTGATCTGATACTTCTATCTGTCAAGTTGATGCATAGCTGTGGTGTGTTTGTCTGGCTGGGTTTAGGCTGTATCTCGATCGAAGCCGTGTAGAGGAAATTGTGTTGCTAAGTCTTGGTGTGTGATTTGAATTTGGTGTATGGTAGCGATATCACTTCGTAATGGCCGATCGGAGGTTCTGTAAAGGGCAGCCTGACTCACAAGTGCTGGGTTTTTGCCATGGTGTTTTGCTATACAGTATATTAAAATCAATTAATTCATTGCTTTCCAAAAAAAAAATATTAAATCCTCATTTTTATTGTTGGTCCGTGGTTGTTTATTTGTTTAAGGACCATCCAGTAAACTGGAGACTTAATATGGAAATAAAATCCATAAAAAGAATATATGAATAGAAAAAAAATAATTGCATGCTCTAATGTCTATAAATTAAAAAACTTGAGCCTTCTGTTGCTACTACTAAAACAAAATTCGAAATAATACTAATAACAAAGTGTAACTAGCACGCTGAGAATATATATATATATATATATATATATATATATATATATAGAGGGATAGAATTAGTTAATTTTATTGGAGGATTAAAGAAGGAGAGAAATAATGCATAAAATATAAATAATTAAATATGACATACAAGATTAATAATTTTCTTTTGTATAATCAATATTGTTTAAAGACAAAACAATCAAAGATAATTTACTTTCAACTAAATATAAAACATAAAGCATATAAAAAAATAAATTCATCAAAAAATGATAAAATAGTGAAATTTTAAACAATAACAAATAATGCAATGTTACAAAGCATATTTGAAAATTATATAATAATTTTTTAATTTTTAAATACTAAAATCATTGAAAACACATAATAAAAAAAATATGACAAGTAAAAGATAGAACTACATAACAAAAAAGAAAAAAAAATATACTTGATGATTCATAGAAATTTGGAGAGGGAAATCTATTAAAGCTTAAAACATATAATCAAATCGAATAGAATTAAAAAAATATATAATTTGAAAAAAAGATAAAAAAAATGCTTTACTTCTTTGTGATTTCACAATGAAAAGACAAAAGAGAAGAGGAAAAAAAAAGAAAGAGATGGAAAAAGGTGTGAAGAAACTTAAAAAGGAAAATTTTAAAAGTTAAGATAAAATTAAATGAATTTATAAAATCATTTTATTATTTTTTATTTATATTAATAATTTAAAAAAATTATTTTAGAAGCTCATTAAAAATTATTTATAATATATTTTCTTGCAAAAGGACACTCCGTCCCCGTCCCCCCCCCCCCACACACATTATATAACATATATATATATATATATAGCAGTTTAATAGTAACTATAATGAATATTTTTAGAACATTTAAAAAATTTTGGTTGGTAGTTCATTAGCAAAGGTAGAATTAACTAATTTTTATTGGGAGGTCAAAAATGAGGAAGAATAAAGACTAAAAATTTTTAAAATTAATATATTAAATTTAACCATTAATAATAAAAAAATTCATAATAAATAATAATTTTATATAATATATAAATAAAAAAACTTATAATATTCTTTTAGAAAAATTTTGTTAGACCATAGTAATGTCTTTCTTAATATAAACGATTAAATTATCTACAAGAAATTCATTCATTTTATTCTAAAGTCTTGTCTTTTTCAATATAACAACTAAAAAATCAATACAGTCAACATACAATATTTTTATTTTATTTTTATTTAAATTAAAAATATTAAATATTAAATTATAATACATAAAATAAAAATAATTAAATACGATATACAGAATTAATAATTTCTTTTTATATAATTAAGATGGTTTAAATATTAAATACTCTAGATAATTTTCTTTTAACTACATATAAAAGGTAAAGTATATTAAAAAAATATACTCAAAATAATTTCTTCTTATGTAATTAAGATTAATAAAAAAATTATATATTGATAAAATTTTAACTAATAACCAATAATATAACATTAGAACTTATATTTGAAAATTACATAATAATTTTTTAATTTTGAGACACTAAAATTATTAAAAATAAAATTTATATAACAGGATAAAAGATTAACATGACAAATGAAAGATAGAATCTACATAATTAAAAAAAATGATTGATGGTTTTTAGAAATATGAAAAAGATAAAATTTATAAAAATTTAAAACATATAAGTAAGAATATAATTAAAAAAATAAATAATAATATAAATAAAAATATAAATAAAAAATTTAAAAAAACTTTATTTTTTATTATTGCATAATAAAAAAACAAAAAAGGGGGGAAAGGAAAAAAAGAAAGAAAGGGATATAGGCATGGAGACCCTCGAACAATGGAAAGCCAGGCCACTGGTCATTAGGATGGTTGTGTGTGGACTGCTTTCAATTGAACAAAAAATATATTTTCATCCCAACGGGTTGACAATCATTACCTTAATTCAATCATTAATTTAACTTAGTTAAATAACATGAAAATTTATTTATTTATTTATCTTTTTTCAAAAAAATTAAATTATACTCTTTAAATAAAAAATTATGCATTAACTAATAAATGCAATGCTTGAGTGTAAATTACATGCAATTTATTAATAGAATGAAAACAATGCATTCCAATAAAATCTATTTTTAAAAAAATTATGAAATCTAATAAGTAATCCAACAAAATCTATATTTAAAAAAATTATGAAATCTAATAAGTAATCTATCAATTACAAGTTATATACTGCCCAAAATATAATATAAAAATGATAAATAAAAAAAACTCAATATTTGTTACCGGGTAAGTTAGAACCCCCACAATAATGTCAATTAGGAAGCGGAAAAAGATCTGCCATAACGTCACGTCTCAGATTAACAATGGAATTATTCATGGAACCCAATAGAGGGCACACTATTAGGAAAAAAAAAAGAAGAAAAAACAGCTATATAGTGCCCAGATGCCACCAACGCACCAATTTAGTGCTAGATCTGATCGCTATCAAGCCAACAGGGCACTGGCAACGACCAGATCTAACTATTAACAGGCCCAAGTTAGCTGTCGGCGAACATAACCTGGTTGGTCGACCTTTTCTCATCTGAGATCTTGACGAGACTACAATTTTATAAAAGATACATGGACAAAATGGCCCAAAAATCAATTATACTTTTTTGTTCGGATCTAAATAATTTCTTCCCTCAAGAATCAAAATAATTATTCCAAATTCATCAGAAATAACTTAATAAGTCATTACTTTACAAAAAAATAACATGGTTAGTCCGATCAGAATCAGCAAAGATTTGATTAAGATAAAAAAGTTGCAATAATTAGTTTTCATTTAAACAAAACACCTGTAAAAAAAAAAAGCTTGTTTTTGCTGTGAAAACAACATCATTTCTTCTTTCGTTGAATAAAACACAATTATCAGAAAAAGATGTTATTTTTTGAGAAAGAAATTGAAAGGATAGAACGTCGAAATTATAGATAGGACCCTCACCATTGAAGAAGAGATTGCAGAATCAAAGGTTCTAAGACCGGTTCGAAGAACTTGATAGAGATCAAAGGTTCTAAGACCAGTTCGAAGAACTTAGGAGAGAGAGAGAGAGAGAGAGAGAGAGAGAGAGAGAGAGAGAGGGAGAGCGAGAGGGAGGAGGAGGCGGAATTAAGGGTTAGATGCTCCTGCACAAAGATTGTCTGGATTGCGTCGAATTTAAAGAGCAAATAGTTATTTGGGCGCCTCTTTTGCAACAAAGAGCAGGCGTCTGCTGTTTGCATTGTAGTAAGAGCAGGCTTGTTCCTAACAGAAATAGAAGCGGAAATAACAAACTGTTATCAAGTTCTGTTGGCAAGATTTGACTTGCTCAAAACCCAGCAGCTGGTTTTAACTTCCAATAGAATAATAATAATTATTATATAATTGCAAACCCTAGCACTGGATTAACGTGTTATTTGGATGATTTTAAGCCAGGATAAAGTGATTGCAAACTCAGGCCCGGCAACCCCACCAAACGTTTTCTTCAATGGCATTAGCATGAGACGGCATAATGTTTAAATAAATTCTTAAATTGTTTTAAAAATTTTAAATAAAATTTTATTTATAGATAAAAGTAGTGCAGCCAATCAAAAGGAGACCCCAGCTCACATACCACCCAAAACCCAGCAGCACACAAAGATGACTTAAAGACTCTGCTAGAACAAAACCAAAGTTCAAAATGTTAACTTAGCTTGTACTTGGTGGGAATCTACGCTGACCAAGGAAATTTTTAGCCTCAAGGCACTGCTAAAATTGTGGGTCTAATACACTGAGACCTAGTATGACATTATAGTGAGAAATTCAATTTTAAAAATTTATACAGAAAGATAAATTTTAGATTTTCATAAAAAATTTAAATTATTTCCATCTAGAAAATAAATACTTATAGTTTTATATATTTTCATTTTAAGTTGAAAATATATCAATATATCAAAAAATGATAGTGCTATTTATTTGAAATAAAATCTAAAAAAGATAATAATTTTTATGCACCAAAATAAGTCGAAGAATAATTGTCATATTTCAAAATAGGAAGGAATATTTAATAATTCTTCTCCGAACCATTAACAAACTATTACATCTATATATCAGAAATCATTGAACAAATAACAAACAAATCAACACACTAACATAGCTCTGGTTGAGCTTGGATTTTTTTTTTCTATTTAATTTTTATGTTTTGGCTTCTGAGAGGGTCCTTCTCTCTCTTTGGTTTTTTGTGTCGGGTTTAAGAATCTTATTGTGATGTGGCGGAGAAGACGGAGTACTTGGCATTACTTGTCCTCTCTTCTTCAAGCGGATCTGTCTATTGTTCTTACAATTGCGCCCTTTGTATCATTATAGTTAGACTTGATAATTTTAAATACGACATAATAATAAGATATGAAAATATATAAAATTAAATAAATTTAAATTTAAAATTTTCATATTTCTTATTTTAATCATATTAAATATTTAAATATATTTAACTAGTCATATTTTTTAAAATTATTTTATTAATATTAAATCATCACATCATACAGAGTCTTTATTGTTTGATAAAGATTCTCCTTGACATAAAACATCTGGCGTGTGAAGCGGAAACAGCATAACAAGCTCCGTTACAGTTTCCGTTCCTACTGTGAGCTACATAGAAGAAGGGTAGCCCTCTACCCATCACCTAGAGTGCAATAAAAAAATTGACAAGAACTCAAGGTTTCAACCAACACACCAACAACTAATCCAAAAAACCCAAGAAAAGCTAGGCTATCAAAGGCAGAGACGGAAACAGCCCCTACTTCAAATAAAGAATCGTCAAGACAAAAGAAAGAAAGAAAAAAAACAACCAGGAGAAGCAAATTTTAAAATCAAGACAAAGCATCTGATGTTATCTTTTTTATATGTGTATATATCTATGACATGTTTATTAATTTATTAAAATTAATAATTGAAAATTATTTAAAAAAAATAAATTTCATAAAAATAATAATATAATAACACCCAAATCCGATATTTTCTTTTGTTTTCTCTTCATTTGGAGCTTTTCTGTCACACTACAAACCCCTTTCTTCTCTTCATCAATTCTTCTTCTTTCTCCATTCTACTTTCTCACTAATTTCATCAATTATTCAACTAATTTCACCCATTATTGCATTGTTTCTTCAATTCTTCTTCTTCCTGCCCGATTATTTCACTAATATTTGATTGTGACATCGGAATGATGTGACATTGGAGAGCAAGTTTTCAATTTTAGTTTGAGCTTTTGGAATTGTTCATGATTGAAAATGTGGTTAATGATATGTATGTAATTATGATTAAAAATTATAGATAATTTTATATATTATTAGTATTTTAAAGTTAAATGTTAATGACGGATTCTATTAGTATGATAATAAATTTTATGTGTGTTATTTATGTTAATTTGATATTATTATTATTTTGTTATAATTATTTTTATATTTTTTTATTTTAAATTTAAATAATATTATTTTTTTTAATTGTAAATATTTTAATTTAAGTGTATTAAATATGTTAATTATGTTAATCGTGTTATGAAAAAATTATGTTTAATCGTATTTATTAATCATGTTGTGTCATACAAAAAATATTGACACATTTAATAAATATGTTAATCATATCATATTATACAGTTATTAAAAGTATCCGTGTACATATTTTCATAAGTTGACACGAATAATTTTTTGTGACATATTCGACTTTAACTTATCGTGTTAAAACGTTCAAAACATGAAGATACAAATTGCCAAGTGTAATTGCAGCTATCTTTTGCTTCATCAGTAAAATTTCTTTCAATTTTTTTCATATAATATTTTAAAAAATAAAATTATGTAAAAAATTAAATAATCAAATAAAAAATTATTTTTATATATTTTTTAACAAGATAAATTTTTTACATTTAAATATTTAATTTATTAATAAATATATCTATCACCTATTTAAATATTTGTAACTTTTAAATATTTTTTTTAAATTAGTCTCTCAACATCTTAATTTTGTTCAATTTGATCTCTGTATTATATAATTTTGTTCAATTTAATCTCCATAATCTAACATAATTTTGTTAAAAAATTTTTTTTAATCTGTCACATGCCATCGACACGTCAACATGTCAGTGCCATGTCAATATTGTCATTTCATCATATTAATGCCATGTGGCACTACCTCGTTATCAAATATGTGACACATGGCATGCCACATTATCAAATTGCACCATGTTAATATTGACATTATCTTTTTTAACAACAAAATTAGATGTTGTTAAAAAGAGAGATTAAATTAAAGTAATTTTCAACATCAATAAATTAAATTACTTTGATTTTAAGTACAATGACTAAATTAAACAAAATATATAAGTATGAGGACTTGGTAGACATTTTAACTAATCAAATTTAAGAAACTTGAAATTAAATAAATAAATAAATATATATATATATATATATATATATAATATCATCCCAGCTAGATGGCTTTGTTCCTTGTAATTTCAATTATTGTCAGAAAGGCGAAATTAAAGGCAACAAAAGTCCGAAGCTGAGAAATTGGTTTACTGTGCGACGTCGCGCGTTCGGATTAGCCCACCGGTCAAGAGAAATTCGGTTGCTGCCAACAATTGCCTAGTTATCACGACCGGCTGTTGAAAATAAACTATTAATAAGGTGTAAACGAGATCATATAATTAACACTAAATTAACTCTCAATTATATATATTTTTTAACTCTCAATTACGTTTGATTAACTACAATTAAAATATTATTGATTCAATATTAAAGTAAAGAGAAAAAGCGATAAATATAACTAAAACTGAATAAAAATTATTCTCAATTTCTTTATAATTAGCCGTGTGATTATTTTTTTAAAATGTTAAAATATTTCATTAATATTGTGAAAAAAAATTATAAATGTCCATGAATCTGCAAAAAAAAAAAAACAGAAACAAGAAAAAAAAGTCAGAATATCATCCCAGAGGAGAAAGCCTATTGCTATCATTAAACAAAAATTGATTTTTAAGTTGCTTCAGACTGGAAAAGTAAATTTTTTGAAAATAGGAATCAACCAATCTTGAGATTATTTAAAGAAAGGTGGGAGGGAGAAACAAAAGAGGAAGAAGAACAATAGAACGAAGAAAATCAACTGATGAACTGTAAGACCAAATTTCTTTTTTTTTTTTTTTTTCAAAAGTATAACTTTATTCTTCCATTATCAATATGTTATATCAAATTTTTAGTCTGTTTGACAAAAGAGTTTACTCGACATAAAATGATTTGACATGGGTAAACATCTGTATACTTACAAGATCTCGACGTTACACAAAAATTGATAGCAAGCTAACTCTGAAAGATCTTAATCGTACATTTAAAAAATGATTAAAAAACTCATCAAATCTTTATATTCATTATTTTATTTAGTTTAATTTATGTATTAAAAATTAAAATAATTTATTTTTTTAATTTTAAAAATTATTTTAATTTAATCTCTTTTTCTATTGACATTTAATTTTATTATTAAAGGATGATGTCAACACCAATATCAATATTGACATAATACATTTTGATAATATGATACTGAAGTGATGATGTAGCAGTGTCACTTGATACTAATATGATGATGTGACACAAATATATTAATGCCGCGTGGTAATTCAAAAATTTTTAAAAGAAATTTTTTTATACTATGCATAGAGGTTAAATTTAATAAAAATATATAATATATAAATTAAATTAAATTAAATTAAGATATTAAGAAATTAAATTAAAAAATTATTTAAAAATATAACCTTTTAAGTAGAGTAGAGAAAAAATTATAATATTACATATAAACAATTGTAATATTAAAGAGAAAAAAGCTACTAAATCTACTAATTCGTTACTAAAAAATAAAATATTATAATAAGGTGTAAGATTCGCTTTTAGAAAAAATTTCAATAAGACAACCGACTTGTTATCGGTCAAAACAGGCCAATGGTTCATTGGTCAAAACACGCCACCGTTGGTCTAACGAGTGACAGCCTTTTGGAAAGAAAAAATTAATTCAAATCGATAAAAGATTTAAAAAAAAAGCAAGACATAATAGACAAAATAAAAAGGAGCAAAACAAATGCACGTACATCTTCAGAAAAGTCAAAGCAAGTGGGGTA